AAGGGGAAGAGATGGAGGCAGTGACAGATTTTACTTTCTTGGGCTCCATGGTCACTGCAGATGGTGACAGCAGCTACGAAGTTAAAAGACACCTGCTCCAATACTTTGGCCATCTCATGAGAAAAGGACTTCTTGGAAAAGACCCTGATGTTGGGAAAGTGTGAAGGCAAGAGGAGAAGGGGATGACAGAGGATGAGATGGTTGGGCAGTGTCATTGAAGCTACCAACATGAATTTGACCAAACTCCGGGAGTTAGTGGAAAACAGGAGAGTCTGGCATGCTCTGGTCTATAGGGTTACCAAGTCAGACACAACTTAACGACTAAACAACAACAAAGATATACATTTTTGCATTTAGTAAGAATTATAGCAATATGTTTGATATAAAAACTTTGTAACATTAAAAATGTAAAGAACTGATTTCCTTTAAATAATCTAGGTAAAGTAAAATTGTGTGCGTTATTTGCAATATTTAATTACCATTTGCATCCATGAAAGGCAATAAATTGCAGGAGCTAGAACAAGCATTCTAGACACAAATGTTTTCCTGTAGAATTGTACTTAAATTCATCTGCATTTGGCAGCAAAGCCAGGGCAAGAAAGGAAATAAGCCATGAAATGAGTCTGTCTCTTGTGCACAAGTATGTTGCTCAGACCGATGATATATAATATAGCAAAATTGATATGAATTTGCATATCTGAATTAGGATCACCTAAACATATGAAAGGTATTCACAGAGCAACATTACCAAATGCATGAAGTCCCTTCACTGTAATAGGACACAATGTACCATCTTTATTATCAGAATGCCTCCTTCTCTCACCCACTTAGGACCTCACAACAGAAAAAGGCACTCCATTTAGTAAGTGGAGTTGTGGTCAACATGACAGAATAACACTCAGCTGACCACTTCAGCACTATTACTGTACTGTTTTCACCTCACTGAGAACTGGAAGCACATTATGGTTCTGTTTGCTGAAGAGGGTAGGGTATTCCTATAGCCTTTTCCATCTAATAGTTCATTTACACACAGAGAATTGTTCTATATGACTGTAGCATGAATTTTGGATGTGTGATGGATTCAGTTCCCCAATCCCAGTGCACTTGACACTAGTAACAATTAGGTCTCAGAGCACATTTAAGCAAATTATTCCTGTGAATAAAATAAACATCCAAAGCAATATTTAAAGTGGTATTATCATAAACTTGTATTTCCATTGTATTAATGGGTGTTCTATTAAATGTAGTTGTTTGTTGACCTCAAATAAAGATGATGATGAGGTTTTGCATAGGCTCCAAAGCTCTTGATTACAAAGTAAAAATAGCTTAACAATTCCAAATTGACAACAGAGAAGAATGTACAAAGAACATCCAAAAAAGGCAAATAACTGCCAGGCTTGTAATATGGCAAAATCAAGTAACATTTTAAAAATATGTAAATAATTATGCTAGTAAAAGTCCCTTTTACCCTTCATTTCAGGACTCCTGGAGCCTATGATGCTGAAGTAGACTGGAATCAGCTCTAGGTTCTAGCATCATTGGCAAAGATATATCCTGTGGAGCTGTGTCTTCCTCTCATTCCTCAATGGCAGTGACACAAACAGGAACAGTATCCGTTCCACCTATTTATCTTTTGCCTAAAGTGGACACTCAGATTTAAAGGTCAACAAGCTAGTAGGGGCTACATCTCCTACTCCTTGATAGAGCATCACAGCTGTTAATAAATAAATAAATAAATAAATAAATAAATAAATAAATAAATAAATAAATAAATAAATAAATAAATAAATAAATAAATAACAATTTGGGAAACCACAAATATATTGTTACCCATAAAATGCAAAGATTAACCCTCACTTCTCAATTCAGAAAGTTATAGCAACACAGTTTAAGGATGATAAAAGTAACATTTATCATGCCAAATGTTTAATCTCTTATTTTACTTCACTGTAAGCTTACACTAGGACATTTTTATTACTTATGCAAATAGGATGGAGAGTGTAAAACATGTATTTCCTTTAATATTTATGAAAAATTACCATAGATTTTGTTCACTTTATGGGTACTACATATGTGCCAAACCATGTGCACATTTGAAAAAAAATACAGTGGTGCCTCACAAGACAAGTGCCCCATTTAATGACGAAATCGCATCAAAACAAACTTTTTGCAATTGCAAAAGCGAT